TGATGGGGTCGCCCCAGACGCGGCCAGATTAGGGTACTGGCTGCATCCTTTGCCACGAGGAACATGGGGTTGGCAATGGTTCGGCTGGCCACGTGGGTCCGGCTATCGGTGCCCCAGTTGCTGGACTGGAGGGTCCAGGGTGAGCTGGAGAGAGGGATGGAGGGGGGAAAAAACTCAAGAAAGGGGAAGAAGTTGAGCAAAAGGGGAGAGACAGCATGTGTGTGCATCAGGAGACACTCCAAAGCCGGAGAAATGAAAAAGCCATAGGGAGAAAAGTTACAGAGGGAAGAAAATAGCAGCAGGGAGAAAAGCAGGAGAAAGAGGGAGGAAAAAAAAGCGCTCAGTCACTACTGAATAATGTAGGGCAGGCTATTGGGGGCTAGCGAGAGTGACAAAAGCTCCCAGCCTTTTCTTTTTTCGTCATTAACAGATGGAGCCGTGCATGAAAGCAGGGACGTAGGCTCCAAACCCGCAGCTCGAGCAATCAAAGCGTGCAGCAGACAGGAGCACGCCAGCCTCCCCTGCAGCCAGGCAGCCTGAAGGGATGAGAAAAGCTCTCGGAGCCCATGAGATGCGGGCATGGACAAAGAGGCAAAATAAACCCCCACCCCACCTGCGCTGCCCCCCGCCAACACAGCCAACTCTGCTTGGATATGAGCACGGGCAGCCCCGGGTGGGAATTATCCCTGCCGGGAGGATGAGAATTAACCTTTCCACTCGCCTTTCCTTCCCTCCCGCCATCCTTCCCTGCCTTTCAGCCAGCTGCACCAGTGGGTCCCCAAGACACCCCATCCCTAAAAAAGGGGCTAAAGCCCCCTCCCCGTCAGCTAATCCTTCCCTGTTTATTGAGACCAAAGGTAGGGTGCCCTTTGCTGGGCGCTTTTCCCTGCTCGGAGAGGTTTTGCTCTCTACAAGAGAGTGCCACCAGAGTAAGCCGGCAGTGAGACCTGGCATTTGGTCAGGGCTGGCAGATGTCCCCTGCACAACCTCTCTTTTCTTGCTGGGTTTTGGTTCTTCGCATTGGTTTTCCTCACAAAACCTGTGGGTTTGTCCCGGCAGACCCCACTGGACGCATCGCAGCCTCCCTCTTATTTGCAGGCTGAGCGTCTTCCTGCCCGATGCGGGGCCATTTGCTCACACCAACACCATCTTCTTGCTTTCCCTCTCCCTGTTACCTTCTCACTGCTGTTTCCATCTGCCAAGGCTGCATCCTGCCCGGACAAACCCGGCTTTCCTCTGGAAAGGGGAGCTGTCTGCTGCAGGGATGTAAGAGCAGAGCAATCACCGGAGCAGAGCATGGCTTGTGCTGGCGGGATCTGTATCCCACACCTCCGAGGGCTTTCAAGCATGGATTGATGATGTCCTGCTTTTTATTTTTCTCTTTAGAGCAAAAATCCTTCTTCGGTGAAGGGCCTGGGGGATTGGGTTTGGGGTTTCGACATGGATCAGGTGGCACCTTGACCATCAGGACCTTGACCTCCTCCTGCCCTCCCCAGCATCCCTGGGCAGCTGCTCCAGAACTGGGGGGCTCTGGCTTGGGGTCGGTGTGTCCGAACACCCTACCCCAGGCACCTGGTGCTGCTCCTCTCCTGGAGGACTTTCCTTCCCCCCCCCCCCCTCAGGGGATGTGCAATTTGGAAATAGTACAAATTCCCCCTGCCTTTCCCTCCCTCCTTGTTCATGATGGATATAGCAAAGATTGGGGGTGACATGGAGGGCATCTTTGGACCCTTGCATCTTTGTGTGTGTGATCATCATGTCCTGTCCATCCTGGAAAAGCAGGACATAGGGAAGAAGAAAAAGCTGGAAGCCATAACCAGAGATGAGCGTGGTGACCTCCTCCAGGCCAGCTCTGAGGCCGGGGGGAACTGTCCAGATCAGCAGGTTTGGCATCAGCCCGTGTCCTACCAGCACAAGCCGTGCAAATGCCCAGGGTTGAAGCAGCCATGCAGACCCCTCTCAGTGCCAGAGTGGCCATGGTGACCCCTGGCTTGGCCTCTGCCAGAACTTTGGGGAAGGTCTGGCAGCACGGGGAAGTTGGCCACCATCTTTCCAAGGCCATGGCAGAGAGCCTAATGCCCCAAGGACATGGGGAAGGGAGAGGGCTGCTACTTATGGAGAAAGCCCAGGAGTGTGGCAAAGGACCACCTTCTCCCTTCCAGCCTGGTTTTCTTCCAGCTAGGATGGGGTCTCCCACTGAGGTGGGATCTGGGGTCTTTGCAGGGTGCAGTAGCGGCTGGGAGCTTCCTTGCCAGGCGTCGGGTTTTGGATCAGCCGAGGGAAGATTTTTGGTCTGGGTTTTAACCCAGATGGGACAAGACACGTTCGATGTCCCCCAGTGATGGGTCATGTCTCGACGAACAGAGGTGCGACAGCCTGGCCACTGGCCCCACTTCTGCGTGGCATCCTGATGGCCTGGGAGAGTCTGGCTTACACTTACGGAGAGCTACCTGCCCGACCTGGCACACGTGCACGCACCCCCGCGTGCCGACTGAGCTGGGATAAGAGGATTACAGCCCCATTATGTGATGTTAACGCGCCGGCCATGGTGAAGCAGCCTCAGGAGCAGCAGGGATGGGAAATCCGAGCTCCTTCCCGCGTTGTTCCTGCCTTGTGAGAGGCTGCCTGCAGGAGCAGAGCCAAGGGATGACCCAAGCACCCGTGCATCCCCTCCTTGTTCTGTCTCTGAAGCAGCAGAAAGTCATTAAGAGCAGCCAAGCTTCATTTTGCAGTAAGGAACTCAATGGGGGCTCTGAGAGGGGAGGTACAAAGTCAGCTGGAGGCTCTTGGAGAAGATCCGGCTGCGGATGTGGGGTTGTGATCTCAGCACTCCCCACGGTGGTGTGGGCTGGGCATGTCTTTATTTAACCTTTTATGGTGACACCATGCTGAATTTTCTCTTTTCTCCCTGCTTTCCTCCCCATTGCGGCTGCTGCCGAGTGCAGCAGGAGCTGCCAGCTCGCACCAACGGCTCGGGGCCCACTGCCCCGGCGCTCGCCCGTGATGCCCTCCACACCAAGATGGAGCAGCTGGAGGAGCAGCTCCTCTCCAAGATACTGACCCTGCAGAAGGAACGCCAGGCTGCCAGCACCGACCGCAGCCAGCAGCAGCACGACATCGAGAAGGAGCTGAACTCCCTCCAGAACCGGGTGACGGAGCTGGAGCATGGTGAGTCCTGAGTCCTGCCCAATGGGGATGAGGGTGGTGTGAGAGGTTCCTGGGACAAGCCACCCTCATCCCAACAACGGGTGCTGACCCTCGTCTCTCCTCCCCATCCTCGGCATGCAGGACCTCCAGGCTACAGCCCTCCTGATGCCTTCAAGGTGACCATCCCAGTGCAGAACAACTACATGTACGCCCGCATGAAGAAAAGCCTGCCAGAGCTCTATGCCTTCACCATCTGCATGTGGCTGAAGTCCAAGGCCCTGGCGGGGCTCGGCACCCCTTTCTCCTACTCTGTCCCAAGCCAAGCCAATGAGATTGTGTTGCTGGAGTGGGGCACCAACCCCCTGGAGCTGCTCATCAACGATAAGGTCAGCCCAACTGGAGGTGGGACGGGAGGGAAGCTCCTGCCCTCATGCCCTCCCCTTTGACGCCCCGGGAAAATGATGCCTCTGGGGGTACCGGCATGGAGAAGCTGGGAGGAAGGGACCCGGGGTGGAGGGGGAAGGCAGGAGGATGAAGAGGATGGGGAGGAGGGCTCGCCAAGGTGAGTCTTGAGAAGGAGAAGCAGCACATCCAGATGTTTGTAGAATTTTGGGTGTCACCACCATGGGGGTGCACCACTTGCTCTGTGAGGGTCTGGGGGGATATTGGGGTCCTCCAGCAGTCCCACCAAGCACCAGGCTCTTGCTTTTCATGTGAAGGTTGCCCAGCTGCCACTGAGCCTGAAGGACAAGGCCTGGCACCACGTCTGCGTGGCATGGACCACCCGGGACGGAAAGTGGTCGGCGTACCAGGACGGCGAGCAGCGGGGTGCCGGTGAGAACCTGGCCTCCTGGCATGCCATCAAGCCCCAGGGCGTCATCATCCTGGGCCAGGAGCAGGTACATGTTGGCCCGCCGCCGAGAGCTGCCAGTTCACATTGCTCCGGCGCAAAGCTGGCCGGGGGGGAACTCCCAAATGGGGCGAGGGTAGGGGGCAGTGCAGGCAGGGTGCATTGGCAGTGTGGGATCTCCTGCCTGCTCATCCAGCCTCCAGGCAGGCCATGTGTACTCATCATCTTCTCTTCCCTCTCCCCATGCCACTGTCCCCCATTTGCTCCCCGCCTTGTCTGTTTGCATCTCCCCCACGTCCATCCCTTCCCCTCCTTGCCTTTGGGCATCTCCCTCCACTTCTCCTCCTCTTCTCCACCCTCTCTGCCTGGTGGATGTGCATCCCCATCCCTGTCCCCACCCCTGTCCCATCACCTCTCCTGCTCTTTCCCAGGACACGCTGGGCGGCCGCTTTGACGCCACGCAGGCCTTCGTGGGAGAGCTGGCACAGTTCGGCGTGTGGGACCACATGCTGGCACCGGCGGAGATCCTGGGCTTGGCCAACTGCACCTCCCACCTCCAAGGCAACGTGATCCAGTGGGATGACCAGGCAGTGGAGGTCTTTGGGGGCGCCAGCAAAGGGGGCTTCGCTGCCTGTGAGGAAGGGAGGAAGGCGTGAGTGGCCCCTCACCCCCTCCCCGGCACCAAGGAGCCCGATGGCAGCCCCAGAGGAGGCAGCGGGGAGCCCCTTTCTCCCTTCCCAGACCGCCGAGCCTTGCCGCCACACTGGGGCAATGCTCAAGCCCCCCCGCACCAGTGTCCTGGGAGGGAGGGGGGGCACC